CATGGACTCTAATGGGCTCGCAGATCCTTATGTGAAGCTTCATCTGCTTCCTGGGGCTAGTAAGGTAAACGCATCAACTCAAGGCTTTCCCAGACATTCAAGGGCCCTATAAATCCTGGGAAGTCTGGAAAAGTCTGGAATTTGATTAAAGTATTAAGTGTTTGGGCTGCACAGTGGCGCAGTTGGTAGAGCTGTTGCCGTGCAGCAAGAAGGTTCTGGGTTCGATTCACGGCCCCAGTCTTTCTGCATGGAGTTTGCATGTTCTCCCTGTGCATGCATGGGTTTTCTCCAGGTACTCCAGTTTCCTCCCACAGTCCAAAAAACATGACTGTTAGGTTAATTGGTCTGTCTAAAATTGCCCCTAGGTGTGAGTGTGTGTGTGCGCATGGTTGTGTGTCTCTGTGTTGCCCTGTGACAGACTGGCAACCTGTCCAGGGTGTACCCCGCCTCTCGCCCGGAACGTTAGCTGGAGATAGGCACCAGCACCCCTCCCGACCCCACTGAGGGACAAGGGTGTTCAGAAAATGGATGGATGGATGGATATTAAGTGTTTGTATTCTCCTCCGATCCGTCCACTTTTGTACAAGTATCTACAGTTTAGCATTAAGCTTTTAAGTTTTAGACAACTGGTAATTTAAGTAGAGAAAATTATGTAGGAGTTCTGTTTTTCTTTTAAAATTTAGAACCTTAATTTCCTGTTCTTCCTTAATTACACTAAATAGGGGCGGATTTTAGACCTTTTTGCTCTGACAGGACCTATCTATGGTGGCTCAAGCCTGACACCTTGTGGTGGTTTGGGTGTAACAAAACTAAACCTGCAATGTAGTTAATCGCTTCAAGAAAGTGTTAATTGCTTTTCTCAATCTACCTGCCATCCATCAGTCCAACAAGCTGCGTACGAAGACCCTGAGAAACACCCGCAACCCTGTGTGGAATGAAACGCTCACCTACCACGGCCTGACCGACGAGGACATGCAACGTAAAACCCTCAGGTGAATTTCTGCTCCCACACAGACACACTTAGGCCCACCGAGCAGCAACCTTCTGCGTTAATTTACACGCTTCATCGGTTTTCCCAGGCTCTCTGTCTGCGATGAAGACAAGTTTGGGCACAATGAGTTTATTGGCGAGACCCGGGTAGCGCTGAAGAAGTTGAAGATGAATCAGAAGAAGAACTTCAACGTCTGCCTAGAGAGGGTTGTGCCTGTGAGTTGAGCCAAATTTTAAAAGGAAAGAAAAAAAGAAAGCTAACGATTTCCTCTGCTTGTTTGAATCTTTCATCTGGCCTGTCATGATCTTGTTTTTCGACACAGACGAAGAGAACTGCGACTGCCGGAGGAGCAAGAGGGATTGCGCTCTACGAAGATGAGGCAAGGATTGTTCTGAAGCATGTCTAAACATGACCGAATCCCTCAGGAGTTTATGCAGATGCTAATATTCAGTCCTGCTCAACTATGTTCCCCCCACGTCTCCCCATGCTGTGTCTCAGCCAGGGAAGGAGGGCACGGATGCAGAGGAGCGCGGTCGTATTCTGATGTCCCTCATGTACAGCACCCAGCTGAATCGCCTCATCGTGGGGGTTGTACGCTGCGTTCACTTGGCTGCCATGGATGCTAATGGATACTCTGATCCATATGTGAAAATGTAGGTTGAGGCGGTGAAAAAAAAAAAAAAATGTTTATATGTTTCTGCACTCTAATTAAACGACTCCAGTAAAGGCATAAATTACTTTGTGCACTATGTGTGTAATTTGCAGATGCCTGAAACCTGACATGGGGAAAAAGGGCAAGTGCAAAACACAAATCAAGAAGAGGACTTTAAACCCAGAGTTTAACGAGGTTAGAAAGCAAGAAAATTAAACGATCTTTTTCATCAAGTGAGTCAATTCATGCTATTTGTAAAATGTTAAGAACTTTTTTTTTTTTTAATGTTTCAATCATATTTTAGGAATTCAGCTTTGACATCAAACACAGTGAACTGGCCAAGAAGACATTAGACATCTCTGTGTGGGATTATGACATTGGGAAGTCCAACGATTACATAGGTGAATATCTGATCTACCTTGAAGGAAAAGTATTCGCACCCCCCTGAATTTCTGCACATTTTTCCTTGTTACAACCACCAGCTTCAATTGTGGCTTTCACTGTATGATTAGGGTTGTTGTGCTGCTGGAAGGTGAACACCCAATCCCAGTTTTTGCAAATCTCTAAGCAAGTGTTCTGCACAGATACTCAGCATTTAGCTTCTTCCCGTGAACTTTAATCAGCCGTCTTCTGAAGAAAAGCATCACCATATCATGATGCTGCCACTACCAAATTGCACTGGTAGGGGTGGGGAAAATGCAGAATGTTCAGTATTGTTTTGACCTGACCACTGCACCATCTTCCATGTTTTGAAACCTCTGATGCCTACGTAAAACAGCTGGATTTATACCAAGATTAAGTTACGCACAGTTGACCTCTGTTTAGTAATTGTCGGACTTTTCAATACAGTTAGTTGCATTAGATTTCATTTAGGGGTATTCGATTAGAAAAGGGTTCTCATGGGTTAAATATCTTATATCATTTTCCTTGTACATCACAAGTACGCGCTCCTTTGTCACAGACTCTTTCACACAAATCCAAATAAAATACATGGAAGTTTTTGGTTGTAGCATGGTAAAATGTTAAGGAAAAGGTTGAGGGATATGAACGCTTTTGCAAAGCTCTACACATCACTGCTGTGATGCAGTAAAAGCTCTAATTCCTCACTCTCTGACAGGCGGCTGTCAGCTGGGCATCACCGCCAAAGGGGAGAGGCTGAAGCACTGGTACGAGTGTTTGAAGAACAAGGACAAGAGGATCGAGCGCTGGCACACCTTACTGAACGAGAACCACATCGTCAGCGATTAACCATACATACAGCATGGGCTCGCACCTAATCAGTTTGCATTCATGTCTTGTTGCACTTTTACTAATGTAGTTTTATTTATTTTTTTTGCTGCTGTTGTTTTGTTTCCATATAGATTTTAATATAACCAAACACGCAGGCACTGTTTCTTCCTTCTCCCGTATAATCCCCTATTTTTTATAGAAGCAGTTTGGTCACCGATACACAATTTGCTTCTGGCACAAATCACGTTGTGTAAATGAATCCGAAGTTTCAGTAACGCGACCCAAAGGAACTGTTATGAAAAAATGCTGCAACAACAACAACAACAACAAAAAAAGGCCTTCAGAAATGCTTCGTAGTGCCACATTCTTCATTGAAGTAAATGAAGCGTGAATTGCACTGGAACACATCAGGAAAAGCAATATGCTATGGCATGAGAACCATCGCCTGAGCCCACGAAGGCTTTCGAACTGGGCCCACAACTCAAATTCATGACGTAATTGCCAAGTGAAACATATAGAGCTCTATAAGCATGCCAGGCCACAGCTGCACCTTAAAATAACTCGGCTGTATGGACATATTGTATATTTCCACAAAGAAATGTTTACATAATGATACATTGCTCAGGATAGGATAGACATCTGATACAACAGATGATTCATACGTGAGTGAACCATGAGCTAGAAAAATCTGTAATGAGTTGCTGTTAATTTGTGGTTTTAAAAAAAAAAAAAAATATATATATATATATATATTCTAGCACACTTATATAGTTTGACAGGAGTTTTTCTGTAGTGTTATTCAAGACGTGTGTGCTATTTTACGTTTGTAGGGCGTAATAACTATGTGTTAAGAGAAACCGGGGAAAGCGATCCAAGATTCTGATCTTTCATTTAGTTTATTTGGGAAAAAAAAAAAAGAATGAAGAGAAAACGAATAGAATCACGTCCTGCTACCTCTGCTCGCTCAAAGCTCGCGGTTCACTCTGACGCCTCAGAGGGTTTTTTTACTGCACTGTTTACATTGAATACACACGGTCAAGTCTGCTACATGTTTACAGAAGAGAGAAGACGGAGCAAGTCATGTCTAAAGTATGTGCAGTCTATACCTGCATGCACTGTGCTTGTGACTCTCATGTGCCTGGGGCATTCTTAGCCCGCTTTTACCCCAAACATGCCCCCTCTCCCCTCTCCTCCCTGTCTCGCTCTCTTCCACACCCTGATTATCCAAGGCTTAAGTGAGTGTTTGTTCACTAATTAAAGCAAATCAAGGAAAGCACACCTTACACAGTGGAATGACCTCTATTTATACAGTAAATTGTCTGCAAGTTATTCCAGTGTGACAACAAAGACAAAAAAAAATTCTATGCATGGAAATGTCTTGTGATTCAAGATGTAAATATATATAGATAGATCACTATCTGTCTATATATACATTTACACTTTGTTATAAATAACTACTATTGTACCTTCATTAATGTTTACAGTTTTCACCATGACATTCCTACTGATGTGGAGGCCATACGCTGCATGACTACGATTACTATGGTTTAATCTGGATGAACCGGCTTGCTAGTACACACAGGATTGACAGAAGGTCAACTGAGCACGTCGATGTAAGATGTCTGCGAGTAGCAGACTGACCTTAGCGTTTAACCGAGAGATCCTGTACATGCGCATTCGAAGCTTACCAGTGTCTTGTTTTCTCAGTAAAGAGCAATGCCCAGATATGGCAATGACCTAGTTCTACACTGTGCTACATCAACAACTGTGATCATGATGAGGTGATCATCAATCGCTTGTAAAAACATCGACAAAAAAACAAAAACAACAACAAATAAAAGGCTTCTCTCCGAGCTAAAGTTATAGCCGCCTCCTACCTGATTCTGACAGTTCTGTGGAATGTTCCTCAATCTCTGTATTTGTACATAGATAGTGCATGAAGTTGAAATCTGTATGTTTGCTAATAACTTTGCATGGAAAGGTTTTGCAGAAAGTTAAGTTTACACAGACAAATAAAACCTTAAAAAAATTGATATTTTCTTTTCTGATTTTTTTTTTTTTTTTTTTTTTTTTGCGAATCGCAGCAGTTGCTGTAATATAATTATAGTTGCACGTTAAAAAGACTACTTGGATGCTACATAAGTAAATACATTTTCATCACAGTTGGTGTGGCCAAATTATGAAGCAGTTATCGTCAATGTAATGCATTCACAATAACGTTTCAGTGAGTGCTGTAACAGCACAGCTTTATTTGCCATCTTACATATTTAGAGTTTCCATCTAGTTGAGTTCATTCCAAACTCACAGCAATGCAATCTTAGCATCCTGATACAATTTTGGGCCCCATTTAACTTAAAAGCAAATCAGGTTATGCTGTGTCCCAGTAATAGGACGCATACAAAAATAGTCCCATCTATAGGACTAATTAAGGCCTCGCACACGATTTCATATTTCACGGGAATGTGATCAGATGAGTGTCAAATTTCTCAAAATCCACGAACCAATAAGAACACATTTCATTCCCTGAGTTATGTCAGAGTCATAAGCATTTGCTAAGTAAAAAAAAAAAAAATCCCTCCTCAGATCTCAGTCATTGCAAAAGAATGTATGCATGCAGACGGTAAAGGACTTGCTCGCCCACACATTGGGATGGAAAGCGGATGGTTCCTTCGAGCTGTTTTCGTCTTACCATGGCTCGGTTTCTCCAAGACACAACACACACCTGGACCAGGTGTGTCCTGCCTCCGATCGAGTCCAGCCGACGGACACACGCTTCTCACCTTTCTGAGCCACGGCGCCAACGGTGCGCGCTTCTTGTATCTCACCAAATGGTCTGACGACCTGCGGCTGGCAGGCTGCGAAATCTATTCAAATCCAGATGTTGCCGCAGGATATCGGGCCTTCTGCGACAGGAATGAGACCTGGGATCAAGAACTTGTAAAGAAGTTTAGCATCAGTCTGTTGCTGTTCCCGGATGCTCCGTGCGCACTCGTACGTTCCGTGGTTCCCACACCGGAGCTCACCGGGCGGAGAAGGACTGATGAGACAGAGAGGAAAACCCGGAGGAAACGATCCTGGATATTCCCAGGCACGTTGTGGTGTGGCACTGGAAGCAAAGCGGCCGGATACGAACAATTGGGTGAGGATGTTGAATTTATTGATGCATTTAAACTTGGGTTGTTGTTTTTTTTTTTTTTTTTTTTTTTTTTTTTTTTTTTTTTTTTTTTTTTTTTTTTGATTTTTTAACTTTTTTTTTTTTGGCTTTGGTCTTCTTTTTTTC